CAAGACGTCCGAAATGAGGTTGACCTGTGTTTGGACTCGGGCCACCAAGTTTCCGAGCCGAAGGTTTTGAAAAACTACCAAAAAATTGGCAGAAAAGCATAGATTTTTGGTAGTGATTACTATCCGCACTAAAGGTACTGACTGCTTTTTTTTTCATAACTTTATGAAGAACGTTCGTGCTTAAAATTTTCGTTACAACCATTAAATTCTGTAATTTATGAATTCCTTCCCACTTCTCATGTATTTATCAACTGTTCTTTATGAACCTGATATTCCTACAATTATCAGCTGTACTTTATAAATCTGATATGTAGAAACGCAATTTGATTTTATGCATTTCAGTATCAAGTGAAATCTTTAAACTAATCGTTCATTATAACACTTTATGTTGTTTTCATTCAAAGCTGAACTCAGATAATGTGCCGAGGTTGAACTACCAGTAATAGGCGACTTTAGCGCTCGCCCGCTAGAATTTAGAGAGGAACTGAGTGCTAGAATTGGGTTAGGCTCTTTGAATATAGCAAAGCCACGAGGTGGCAGATAGCAGATGCTTTCGTGGAGGAAGTTTCTGAAGGCTTAGTTTAGTTTATAGCAAAGCTCCCCATACACGTTACACACGGGGAAGATTATGAAAACGCCCATGTAGCCAGCCCGTTCGCCTTGATTCGAACCCAGGTCGGAACTACCAGTGTTCAGCGATTTAACCGCTCGGCCGCGGGTGAGCCTAATTGCTGAAGGAAACTGGGTCGTATTCATGTTGCACAACAGGAAAACAAACCATGCAGCCAGCTGGTTCGCCTGGGATCGAACCGAAACCAGGTCGAACTTCCAGTAATCAATATTCTTAACCACTCAGCCACTGGCGGCGCGTGGCAGAAGTAAGAGCCACAGATATTGTAGTGAGCAGCAAAAACCTCTAATACTGGCTCTGGTTACTAGTAGAATTATATATTGGTAATAATCCAATCTACAGCAATGAAATTTCGGAGCATAATTGTGAAGTTAAATACGACACTCCGATAAACGTGATAAAGATGAAAAATTTTTTAAAAAAGGAAACTTACTATGCAAATACATGTATTCATTAGTAAACATTTTATAAAATTTATTCTTAATTTAGCGTTTATGAATTCTCAGAGAATTATCTCATCGAATTTTTTTTCTCCTCTGGTAATCCAATATAATTGATTAAATTTATGTGCTGTTAATATCTTTGCCTGTTATGTACATAGTTTTTTTTTTTTTTTTTTTTTTTTTTTCCGTTCAAAGTTAGATAAAACTGAACGTACGTTACACTGAAATTACTTTGTCTAGAAAGTAAGCGCTTGAGTAGAAACAGATGTTGGGTTTTATTTTTAGAAGACATGAGATCGCTTTCTGTAAAGTAATGTTATAAAATTTTGAATTTGAAATAATCGTACTTCGTTTTTTAGTAGCGCAGAATGATAAAGATTTAATGAGAATATAGCAAAGCATCTTTTTAGAGACGCTGTTATAATTTTGCTATTTTATTTTTTTATGGTAGGTCAAGGAAAAAGGCAGGCTGCTAAATACGGTAACAGCACATTACTCTGTTTCATATATAGCGAATCCGCTCTGAAATGAGGCACGAAGCGGTAAAGTAGCTGAACACCAGTATTTCGGTCCGAGTTTCGAATCCCGCGAAGGGACTGGTTGCGCTTTCGTGGTTTTTACCCTGTGTAACGTGTCTAGGAGCCAATTTCCCTTAGAAAGTCTTCCACGAAGGCATCCTTTCCCTTAGGCAGATAGATCGTACCGGTGTTTATTTTATCAACAGTACTGGTTATTTTTAAAAATGATCATCCTAGAAAGGTGATTGCCAAAAAGTATTCACTTCGCATATTTATACGTTATGCATGAATATACTCTTTTTAGTCAATCTAATATATATAAATTACTAATGCTTTAAAAAAATTCAATTTTCAATATTCTGTTTCCTATTTGTTCCTGTTCAATGAAACAGATTCATACACAGCAAATCCAAATGCATCGCTACAGGAAGATGATAAACCAGCACAGTACGTAATTACAGTTACATCCGGAAAAGAGTAGATATACATATAAATACATAATATATATATACGGTATACAACGATATACAATATATATATATATTATCGTTTTTTAGGATGTATCTATAATATGTATCATTTTACTTTATTAAAATATAATATTCAATTTTGTAATTTAGGAATTTCTTCTCCCTTATCATGTATTATCAGCTTGTACTTTATAAACCTGATACCCCTTCAATTATCAGCTGTATTTTATAAACCTGAAACATAGAAACGCAATTTGATTTTATGCATTTCAGTATCAAGTGAAATATTAAAACTGATTGTTCATTATAACACTTTATGTATTCATTCAAAGCGGATCTCAGATAATGTGCCGCAAATTATTTCCACACTAAGTTTTTTTGTGCAAATAATACGTCCTGCTAGTGTTTTTGTAATAAAATGCATGTTATTAATTGATTTCGAATTTTCGTTGCATCTTGATATTGCTGCCAAAAGATATTCAATCAACAATAGTATCTTTTACTACGTTTATGTGTGTGTGGATACATAGACCATTTCTCCGTGTACTAGAAAAATTTGATAATGATTTATCCACTTTTGAAGTAAAAAAATAATAGTTAGGAGTGTTATACGATTTTATAATACAAGTAAAAAATATATATAAAGCTCTGGAAAGTGCTAACACATATTTATGGAATATTATGGATGGTAATTTATGAAATATTATGGATGGATGAGTAAATGGAATATTATGTGCGTGCTATATATGTATACACATATCATCAAGTATAAAATCATTTATATATAATTTTTTTTATGTCGCGATGAAATTTGTTTTCTTCCGCAAAATAACGGCAAATTATGAAACATTACGCAACATTGAAAAGCGTGATGAACAAATTTTGCGAAAAGAAATAGCGACTGCTGCACGTATCTCACAGATATCTTTCATTCAACACAAAGGTGAAAAAGTTCTATTCCTGTTCAAAACATACCCTGCAGTCTGAGTCACAGACGGAAGAAATGACAGCAGGTCTTTTGTTCAACTGAGGGGATGTGTTTTATGGCTTACTCACTTTCCCGCCAAACAAGTACAGAGGAAGGAAGCGTCGTTGCCATAGTAACCAGGCTGTAGGTAGTCTTACAGATTTGAGTCTTTATCGCTCAACGTTCGTAGCGCCATCTGTTATTAAAAATCGACATAAAGGGTATTAATAGATACTAAAATGCCCGTTTAATATATTTGTCTTTTTAAATTTGTCTCAAGTATTAAATTATCGTGATGAAACTTTTTTTCAAATAGCACATGTTCTGTCTCTCTCAGAATCATGTCAAATTCCATACCATTCTGAATACGCTACCACGTGCTGTTATTCCTCTCCTATTTACAAATAGTTGAACTATTTTAGTAAACCTCATAGATCTGTGCAAGCACATTTTTAAGTAGAGAAGAATCTCTTGTGATTAGTCATGGTTAAATTTTTAATAACAGTTAACTGTAAAATGCAAATGCAACTATTCAAAATTTCTATTCATAATTTACGATTTCTAAATACGGTACTACCACGCGATGTTATTCCATTTCGCGTGTTTATAAAATGTTGAATTATTTGAAATTTTTAAATTTGTTTCTTGTAATATGTAGCCTAGGCCAATAAATTACTAAATAAATATGATATAGGGTGTCTTTCAGCCGCTGAAAGGTAAAATTGTTGCACACTGGTAGTTCGTCTCGGAGTCAAGCCATTGCTAATAGACTTCCCTCTCCTTAAGCAAACATGTGTAACGTGTATACGAGCCAGTTTCCCTTAGAAAGTCCTCCACGAAGGCATCCCTTCCCTTAGGCAGATAGCCCTAATGTGCTGTGCCATAATTAAATAAACCATACCAAACCTCCTTAAGCAAATAGCCCGGGAGTGCTTTTGATATTCTAAATAATTCTAACTGTATTTATACATAGACGTAATTAGAAAAAAGGCATTTGGTTAGATTAAACAAATGACTTCCATAAATTAAAAAAATATATATTCGTATTAGAAGTACAATTAATTTTATTTAGAAATTAATTCCTGTTTGTTATGACCAGACTCCCATATATTTAAATATTAAGTAGATAATTTGAAAAAATTTCATTTTAATTAGAAATTATCTGGAAATACGAGCAATAAGTTAGAAAAAGAGAATATTTTATTCTGTAAAAATAAAATCATTTTATTCTGATTAAAATTGTAATTAATTTATTTATTATAATTCAAAATTTTATATGTAAATACACATGGGATAAGGTGGGCCATAAGTACGGAAAAGGAGCATATTTTGTAATTTTCTTGTAAAAATAAAATTATCTTGTTCTGATTACAAGTGTAATTAATTTATTTAAAAAATAATTAAACAGCGAATTCAAATTACTGACAAAGTCATGTGATCACCAGAACAAAGATTCAGCTGCAAAGTCACGACACCCAACGCAAAGCATCAACTGTATAGAAAAAGAAAATATCCCTTTCATTTTCTCTATCTTACTTTTAACATCTGGGCTAGCAACCTAAACACTGTTCCAATTGTTTGGCGCCTATCGCTCAAGTTGGCGAAAGGGATTTCTGGAACCTCGCCAAGTGCCGGTTATCTGAGTACTCCACAAGCGGGAAGGACTCCTTTCTTTCTGTTGCTGAAAAACTTTTTAAAATTTAATAGAAAGTATGCATGTGTACGATAGTTTCTTCTCCCCACATGGTATTCTAAAAAAACCTAAACGGAAAATTATTTACACCTTATGCAGCGACCTTACCTTCTAATCTGTAATGCAGGATACTTCTTTATTTTTGAGCACATGCTAATACATACCTCAGATAACCAGCGGTAGGGTTTTTGAATTTACTACTTTCTTGACGTTTTCTTGTAAATCTTCGTTTTATTTATATATAAATTATCCTCAGCTTGGATGCATAATATGTGAATTTTAAATTCCCATGTTGAATGCATTGTTACATGATTTCTTTTTAATGTATTCCAACTAGAGTGCTTGAAATTGTAATTTAAGATTACTTTAGAACTGTTGCTCCTCGTTCAGGTCTGCCGCTGAGATTTTACCCCTAAGCCATATGGTGGCATATGTTGCAATTACAAAGGTCTTGCCATTTCTTATTGAATTTCTTGAGCAAAATATGCATATTTTATGAATGCTTTGTAAAATGTGTTATATTGCGATTAGTTTTTGCCCAGTGAATTAAAAAATTAGAAATTTGTTTGCACTATCTTGTATGTATAAGTATGACAGTTTTCCTGTTTTCCCATGTGATCGTCGATGAAAACTAATAGTTATAGGATTTTTTTGGAAAACTATTTGTCCTTTATGTATTGGTCTTCTAATCTATTGATGCAGGACCCCCCTCTTTTTTTTTTTTTTTTTTTCTTTTAAGAACATTTCAGTACGGAGATCAGACCACAGCTTTTGGATTTTCCCCGATGTGAAACGTAAATACCAGCTATTTTTCCACAAAACATCCTCCATGGAAGCATACTTCCTTTTAAGCAAATAACGCTACTATGCTAAAAACTAATCTTTCAACCACGGCTGAGTGAATAAGACTGTTGAAAAGTTAAAAGGGGGAAAAAATAATTTGTTATATAGTTTAATGGGAATAATAGAGTAAATAATTCTACTTCAAAAGAATTCACCTAAAGTTTTATATCACAGACAAGCGTGGGGCACCAAAGTAACGAATTAAATAATAAATCTATTAATTTAATTCTATTATCAAATGCATAAGCCATTATTTTTAAAAACTTTATATCAATTTCATTGAGTTTATAAAAATTTATTCATGTGTGTTCCATGCTTATATTATTCACGATACTCAGCATAAGTTTAAATGATTATAACTTGCTTTGAGATTGCATGGTGGTTCATAAAATGCAATAAACTTCATTCCTGGTCAAAATTGACTGTTTCTCGACGACATATTTCGAAAGTAGCATCATCTGAATTCAAATCAATTTTATTGACTCAAGCTAACTGCAGATTAAAAAGAAAAATGACTTCCGTTAGCCAGAGTCATACCTAGATAATTTTTCGCCTAATGTAAGAAGGTAAATTTGTGCCCCTATGTAAACGGCGAATCAATTATACCTGTACATATGCGTATTTAATAAATGTTTTAGATAACCGTAACTTTTATTGTAATTTTAATCAGAGTTCTTAATAATGAAAAAAGAAAAGAAAAAAAGTACATTAAGAGCCTTTTGTTTTAAAACAAGGAAAAAATAAAAGTGCATTTTCTATCACTGAGCTAAAATAAACAATTTAGAAAATTATAAATAGTGATGCAGTTAAATGTAGAAGGATATTGCTCTTATTTTTAGACAGTGCTTTTTATTTATCGACAAAAAACAATAAATTTTTGCAAAAATAATATGACTATTTATTTTATGTTTTATAAAGTAAATATATATTTATTTCATAATACAAGTAACCCTCGTATAACACGGTAGATAGGTTCCCAGAAAATGCCGTGTTGTATGAGACCCAGAGCCAGTAAAAAAAAGGGGGTTGCGTTCCGAAAACATATTAAAAACAAATAATACTTTTTAATTATACATAAACAGCTTAATTTTTATTAAAAATATATCGTATGTACAACACAAAACAAAATATATTACATAATTTAATTTAACACAACTTTAGTTTAATAAATTTCTTCATTGTCATTGCTCAGTATAATCAACAGAGAACGTTTTTTCTGTGGAATGAGATCGTTTTCACTTTCAGAATTTCTTTCTTCATTTAAAGTTCTGGCATTTTCTTCCCTCTTTAAAAAAATTTTAATTTCATTTTGCTTACTAGTTCTTACCAGGTCATTTTAAATTTCTCGATATAGAGCTAGACAGTTTTGCAGCTCCCTTTTGAATTTTCGGCTTATTTCAGAAGGTTCTTCACAAAGAAAGCTAGATTCAATAAGGTGTCACTAAAATGTTTATACAGTCAAAAGTCTTTAATCTGGACATCCATAATCTGGAATGGTCTATAATCTGGACCTCAAAGCTACAAACTTTCTGCGCATGCGTTTATGCATGTGCATAATATGTTTACGCATGCACGTTTAATCTATAACGGACGATATAAACTAAGCTAAAATTATCTAATTATCTATTTCAGTTAATGTTGCAGATTGCATTGTTCCTTAATCTTCTAATTCGATCCCGCTTATTATTTTTTGCAGACTGTTAGAGCAATTTTATAAAAGTAAGCTTGAACTTTCGATTATGTCAAAAAGAATTTCCGATTCTGGAGCTGCCAAAGGATCTACAAAGCGAAAGCATGTTTCGATGTCCATCAAAAAAAAAAGTGGAATTGCTTCAAAAAATGGATAAAGGCATATCCTTTGTTTTTCTAACCATTTGGAAATCTGTTTATCAATTTCATGCTGCTCTGCGGGGGGGGGACATCGCGGTGCGCAATGAACTGGAAATTGATCTGTCAGTACTATCCTTATCTTCAGGGCAGATGTTTTTATTTTATTCTGCTCATAATTCCTTACTAAATGTAGTATTTCATCTGGATGTACTCCTTTTTCGATATGATTTAAATCAAATTCCTCGTCATTATAAATATCACAAATACACATCAAATGGTTTTCTGGTTGCAATTTTCTAATTTCGACTACAGTCAAAAGTCTTTAATCCAGACTCGTAGGGTCTTCAGCGATTCCCGATTATAGATCATCAGTTATCATCTGGTAAGATGGTATGCAGAAATTATAAAATTAAAAATATGAAACCGTAATTTATGAAATAAAGAGCAATTATGATCTAATGGGTATCAAAATTTACAAAAAAAAGCTTAATATTTATTTATTTACTTTATTAAACATTTCTTTCAATGTGCACATGTGCAAAGTATACATTACGCATAGTCGAAATCAGAAAATTGCAACCAGAAAACTATTTAATGTGTATTCGTGATACTTATAATGACAAGGAATTTGATTTAAATCATATCAAAGATGGAGTACATCGAGATGAAATACTGCATTTAGTAAGGAATTATAAACCGAATGAAATGAAAACATCTGCCCTGAAGATAAGGATAGTGCTGACAGATCAACTTCCAGTTCATTGCGCTCCGCAACGTTTCCCCCCCTCGCAGAGCAGCGTGAAATTGATAAACAGATTTCGGAATGGTTAGAGAAACAAAGGATATGCCTTTATCCATTTTTTGCAGCAATTCCACTTTTTGTTTGATGGACAAACTACTTGTGCGATTTTTACAAAAAATGGCAGTTTGGCATAATTAGAATCGAATTGTGGAAAAAAATTGGCATGTCATTTCTGAAAAAGTAATATTTTGTGTCAGAATACCTATCACAGAACAATGTTATATATAAAACTAATACATATCCCAAGTTGCACTTTCGAGACATGAAAAACGCTAGTTGAATTTCGTCAATCGGCCCAGTAGAATGGGTAATGTAGAACTGTCCCCCCTTTTTTTTTGTGCATTGAACCATTTCAAAATAATTATTCTAATTTTTTTAATATCTTCATTGTTATCATCATTAGAATTTTCAGAATCATCTTATACTTGTTAAACCAACGACTTCCTAACTCTGTCCCCAATTTAGTGTAAATTATACCTATTGTAAAATTTTATTTCAGCAATCAACGTAATTCCATGTAGAAGGCATAATAACTGATGACTAGCATCAATCAAATTGATTGCTTTCTTCGTCACCGAAGATTTATTCGATATACAAAAATAATATTTAGTAAAAAAATGTAAGTTAATTTAATTTTAGATGAAAATTACACATTTTCAGCAAGGAAATATCCATGAATACGACATAAGATTCGAAAATTTAATTTCATTTTGTGTACAACTTTTCTTGCATTCAGAAACAAGCAGCACTGGCGAACAGAAGAAAGGTGCGATTCTTGCAGGATAATCTACATTCTGTTTTGGTCACCTGATATAACTATTACTAGACATATCTATTTTTCCAACTTCTCAGACACGCACTTTGGATTTATTGAAATTAAGAAGTATAACTTGTTAGCAGAACTTTAAATAAAGATTAATTTTGGGACACTGTAGACCAATTTAAAAAATTAAATACAGTCAAAAGTCGTTAATTCGGACACCCATAATCCGGAATGATCTATAATCCGGAGATCAAAGCTCAAACTTTCTGCGCATGCGTCAACGTGACGCATGCGCGTAAGACCTTTACGGCTGTGAATATGCATATGTGCAAAATACGTTTACGAATGTGCGTTTAATGTATAACGGACGGTATAAGCTAAGCTGAAATTATCTAATTCAGTTAATGTTGCAGATTGCAGTGTTCCTTAATCTTCGAATTGGATTCGGCTTATTATTTTTTGCAGACTATTAGAGCAATTTTATAAAAGTAAGCTTGAACTTTCGATTATGTCAAAAAGAATTTCTGATATATATTTACTATTATGTAAAGGATCTACAAAGTGAAAGTATGTTTCGAAGTCCATTAAACAAAAAGTGTAATTGCTGCAAAAAATGGATAAAGGCATATCCTTTGTTTATCTAAACTTTGTTTATCTTTAACGCCGCGGTGCGCAAAATTGGTGATCTGTCAGCACTATCCTTATCTTCAGGGCAGATGTTTTTTATTTATTTAGCTTATAATTCCTTACTAAATGTATATTTCATCTCGATGTACTCTCTTTGATATGATTTAAATCAAATTCTCGTCATTATAATTTGCTTTGATAGAGAAAGTACAGAGGTTATTGAAAACAAAAAAATTTCGATTGATAAGTTAGTCGGTATTCGCAACACAACAATTACAGGACTTGAACAGTGGAACTTTGTAACTGAACAAGAAATTATGTCTGTTTATAGAATTAAAAGAGAAAGTATTGGCACAAAAAAAACAAACCAACTTAAACAACTTACATTGAAAGAAATGTTTAACACAGTAAACAAATAAATATTAAGCTTTTTTTTTTTTTTTTTTTGTAAATTTTGATACCCTTTAGATCATAATTGCTCTTTATTTCATAAATTACAGTTTCATATTTTTAATTGTGTAATTTCTGTATGCAATCTTACCAGATTTAAACTGATGATCTATAATATCGATAATCCGGAATCGCCGAAGTCCCGACGAGGGATTAACGACTTTTGACTGTATATACAAATCATAATATTGTCATCTTTTTTAATGGTAAGTGTATAAAATTCGCCTATCCAGCTGTAAAGTTCAAAATAGTTAAATGCAAGTTTGTTTAAAAGTTTGCAAATTTTAATTGAATTTTTTCTTTTAGGATATGAAGGAGTTTGGATTTGATCAAAACTGGTGTATTATGAAGCCAATAATGCTTAAGGTCCTACACCAAAAAGCAGTTAGACGAGAAGAATGGCATGAATTATTTGTGTAAGTAGTAACTTCTCTTATTAGCATCCTAAATTATAAAATTAAGCTCCCACCAGTGGCCGAGCGGTTAAGTCGCTGAACACTGGTAGTTCGGTCCGAAGTTCAAATTCCAAGAACGGGCTGGCTGCATGGGAGTTTTCGTCATGTGTAATATGAGCCAGTTTCCCATAGAAAGTCTTCCACGAAGGCATCCCTCCCCGTTCATGAAGAATATTTTTGAGTAATTTGTGGCATTTATGTGAAGCCATTTTTAACTAATGACCTGAACTGTGATGAAATAAGCTTGTGGGTTTTTGCATCATGATAATGTATATGTGCACGAATTTTTCGCTTAAAATTCAATAGATATGGCTACTCAAGCTTTGGGTTCATCTGTTATGCGATTGTGTGACTATTTCTTATTTCTATAGTTAATATGTGGGTCAGTGGTTTGAGTCCGTTGAACAAAAATGTTTGCTGCAAGCCTGAAGGGGCTTCCCGAAAACGACTTCAAAGGATTGGGGATTAAAAAAAAAAATAAATAAATAAAAAATAAAAATAGCAAATTTTTACTTCAGTCACATTAAAAGTTGAAAATCACATTTAGAAATAAGTAATAGATTAAAAACAGAAAAGTAATTTTTTATGGAACAATATTTCCATAAAAATATTCATTTCCAAAATGAATACCGTTTTATTTTATCAGCTTTAACCTTTTCCATATGATTGTATGTTAAAAATGAAAGAAGATTAAAAAAAAATTTTTTTTTGAAGTCTTTCAAAATTTTTATTGCACCTCAAGGAGCATTTTTTAATGTTTTGTGTGCTACCTCTATTTATTAAATATCATGTTCTTTGCACTTAAATCATAAGATTAAAAACAGCAATATCACAAAATAATTTAAAAAGAGCATATTTTTAGAATTTACGATACACATTCTTGTGCGTGGAGTTTTCTTTTTTTCTTTTTTCTTTTTTTTTCCATATTTCTGCTCGCTCTGAAATGGTTGAGTTTGTTAATAAAAACTTCCTCAAAAGTTTTACAGAATCTGAAATAGATAAAACAAATTCTGAATTTGGGCTTCCACATGCTCTTATTCGAGTGCAGGACTACGTATTCAAAATTTTATGTCTCTAGGCGCTATTGTTTTTTCACAATGCGAGAAACACATCATTAATGCAGATTCTTCATTATTTAATTTCTTTAGATATAATGCAGGTCTCTAATATTTGGTGGCAACAATTTGAAAAGTGAAACGCCATTTACAATAAACTAATGCAAAATGTCAAAACAAAATTAATAGATATTCTAGACAAATTGCCCCTTTGGGCTAATAACACTCCTAAGTAGTTTAATGGATGGTAATAACATTGATTCTGTTTCCAAATCTGAAAATTGAATGCAAGCAGAATATCAGAATTTGGAAAATTTTGATGTAAAATATTATAGAAATGTTTCAGCCAGTAACTTTATAAACTTGAATCGTTGCTCTGTAGTGGCATGGCTGTAGTGGCTCTGTAGCCTCTCTGGGATTGAAAAAATAATTGGCTTGTCCCCTGATGTGGCCCTTATTCAAGAACCTTATTTGTATCAATGGAAAGATTGCCTGTGTTCAAGGGACCTAAGAGTCATTCATAAAGAAAGACAGGACTGCAGCAATTGTTTTAAATGAAGATTTTAATTTTATAGCTAACTCGATTGAAAATACGGTGGTAGTTGTTTTACTTAAACTGGGTGAGGATTATTGTAGCTATTTTCGGTTTATTTCTCGCCCTCCGAAGATTTAAATGGTCATATTTCTGGATTAGAGGAATGTATTAAAAGATACAATAGATGCTTAATTGTCGGAGATTTTTAATTCAAAACATTTTAATTGGGGCACTCCTTTTAACGATGACCATGGATGCATTTTTATTTTATACAATAACTTAGTTTTATTTAATAGTTTTAATTTTCCTCTGACTTTTCCCCCCATCTGTTAGTGATGGTTTCACGGATTTGGCACTTGTTTCTGAGAAGATTGACATTAAAGATTATCGATTTAGTGTCTTAGACTGAGAGATTGTTAGTGATCATACATAAATACATTTTATTTGAGAGGAAATGAAGATACGGAAGTAGTTATTTAGAGGTATAGATTGGACACTCTAGAGATAGAAATAGATTGGTCCGCTTTTGTAAATAAATGAGAAGATATTCAGATGTTGAAAAAAAGGTTCAGATCACTTACAGAAAGAGAGGAAATACGTTATGTGAATCTAGAGTTGGAAGAAGTGATGATTAAATATATAGATAAAAATCTGAAAATAATGAGGAAAACTGCAAGGAAATTTCTTGTTGATTCCTCAAACTGGGAAAAAAAAAAGAGAAGGACAGCCCTTAGAAAAAGTTCCCAGATAACTAATATTCAAATGGAGATTAAAGTACAGAGAAATATATTGTGTTAACATCAGCTGGCTGTGTATATTAGATTGATTAAAAAAGTGAAGAGAGAAAGCAAATGTAGATATTTTCTCGAGAGTTCCGAATATTACGATAGATTATAAAAAATATCAACCGGAAAGCTAAAGAAAGGATTGAAGGCAAAGAATATTTTTGAAAAATCTCAGGATTATAAAGGATTTTTTATACATATATGATGACAATATGATACATATATGACATACATATATGTATCATATATCATATGTATCATATACATATATGTATCACATATATGACAATATATACATATATGATCTCTCTGAGATGATTGATATAAAAGATGTGAAATTAGAAGATTAGTATTCTACCCTCGGGAAGAATTCCCCAAACAAGAGATCCAGATAGTGATTAACCAGTAGAAAAGTAGAATTGTGCCAGTCACAAACAAAATAAAGTATGTTTGATTTTTATTCTGATTTTATGGTTCTTTTGTTCAATAAATGTTTTCACTATTATATATTTTTCCTAAATATTGGAAGATTGGGAAAATGGTCCTAATTCCGAAAGAAGATTGACCAATTTGTTTGTTAAAGTTTCTGGAAAAGGTTTTTAGACAAATTATGAACAAAAAGACTTTATCATTATGTACTGACCTTAGAAATTATGTCAAGGAGGCAATATGGGTTTGTGTCGAACCGCTCGACTAATGATGCATTATATGATTTTGTAAATTATATTCAAGATAACAAAAAAAAAATTTCTAATGTGGCAGCTCTTTCTTTTGATATTAAAAAAGTTTTTGATTCAGTGAACTAGAGTATACTTTTAAATTTTTTAGTAAAATTAAGTGTCCCTATTGACATCTTTCAACTTTTACAAACCTATTTCGAAGAAATAAAGGTGTCGTTTACTGAAGAAGATAAATTATATGAAATGAAGAGAGATTGTCCTCAGCAGTCCTAATTTGGAATAGAGTTATCAATGCATTACTTAGTAAAGAGTTCCTCGACCACGTAGAAATGTTTTGTTATGCCGACGACTTAATGCTTGTTGTGTCAGAATGCTCTCTGGAGAGGCTGGATAAAAAATTTAAAGATGCTGTAAATATAATTGAGAGTCGGAGGAAAGAACAGAGATTAGAGTTCAACTTTAAGAAGACCAAGGGCCTATTTTCACAAAAGAGGGAAAAGGAACACTAAAACTAGGTTCCTTGTCATCTGTGAATTTGTAAGTTTATTTTATTTTGTGTTGTGGTATTTGTGTGTGTGTGTGTGTGTGTGTGTGTTTACTTATCTCTGTAAGCCTTGTGTAATACTATGTGATGCACAAGGAATTTTCAATTAAAAAAAATAGGGAATTAAATCATTTAGTGTACTAACATTAGTATCTTTTTGCTCAGTGGAATCAAAAGTTAACATTCAGTTTTGTGCAACGAAAATTTTTTCTTCTTGCCTAATAGTTTTTGCATAGAAGCTCTAATTTTAATTTTAAAAAGTTAAAAATTAATCTGAGATGTTAGGTGTTTCTGTATTTTACAATTAAATTGCGATACCGGATTAGGGTTTTTTCCGGATTATAGATCATCAATTTATATCTGGTAAGATGGCATGCAGAAATTATAGAATTAAAAATATGAAACTGTAATTTATGAAATAAAGAGCAAATTATGATCTAAAGGGTATCAAAATTTACAAAAAAAAAAAAAAAAAAAAAAAAGCTTAATATTTATTTGTTTACTGTGTTAAACATTTCTTTCAATGTAAGTTGTTTAAGTTGGTTTGTTTTTTGTGCCAATACTTTCTTTAATTCTATAAACAGACATAATTTCTTGTTCAGTTTCCACTGTTCCACTGTCCTGTAATTGTTGTGTTGCGAATACCGACTAACTTGTCAATCGAAAGTTTTTCGTTTTCAATAACCTCTCTGTCACTTTCTTCACTATCAGAAGCGGTACATTGAAACATGCTTTCACTTTGTAGATCCTTTGGCAGCTCCAGAATCGGAAACTCTTTTTCTAATCGAAAGTTCAAGCTGACTTTTTATAAAATTGCTCTAACAGTCTGCAAAGAATAATAAGCTGGATGCAACTAGAAGATTAGGAACAACACAATCTGCAACATTAACGGAATTAGATAATTTTAGCCTAACTTATGTCATCTGTTATACATTAAACATGCATGCGTAAACGTATTATGCACATGCATAAACGTATTATGCGCATGCATAAACGTATTATGTGCATGTGTAAATGCATTATGCCTTTATGCATGTGCAAAAAGGTTGTAGTTTTTAAGTCCGGATTATAGATCATTCCGGATTAAAGACTTTGTACTGTATTTGTTTATCTCAGTGCCTATATTTACAGCAATTGTACTACTTATATACTTGTGGTTTTCATAATGATGCATCACCGTATATTGTTCGAATCATCTCAAAAGTTTTGGTAGCAGATTAACCTAATCTGTAGCAAAATTTAATGTTATAACTTGAATCCATCTCAAAGCAGATTTTTTTGTACAATGTCTCCTCAATAAACGAAATTGACTCTGTCATTTCGATGTTCAAACAACAAAATAACCAGTTTATCAAGAGTTGAAATACTCTTTTTCTAAACATGCATTTATTCTTTCCCTTTTTTATTTTTACCATTTGGTCTTTAAATTTTTTGGTTACTTAATGGGTGCACTTTGTAGATTTTGCTGCATGAGTCATTTCTCAAACAGCCATATGTTGATAATCGTGCAGTGATAAAGGAAAAAGAATAAATAATGGTTCACCATCTTGGCGTCAGGGATATAAGTATTCTGTAAGTGCAAAATTAATGATGTTTCAGTGTAGAATGTTTTGGTTGATGAGATGCATGCCGAACAAAAGGATGGCTATGGAGCCAAATTATTAACCATACCTTGTATTACCTCCGTTACCTCCTTGTATGGTAATAAAAATGATTATTTCTATGATATGGAGGTATTTTATTTAGTGCCAAAGTGAAGTTAAGAATCAAGACTCCATGCATTTTATAATGAAAAAATGTTAAATGTGCCTGCATGAAGAACACGCACATAAAAGCAAGTAGTTGTTGGTTGTCTAGAGGTCCCCATATTGGACTCCCAGATTTCAGACCTTGTGCTGTATTACAATAGATAATAACAAACCTGCATAAATAACTCAAATACATATCATTATTTTAAACTGAAGTTAACAAAATAAGGGGGCTGGAAAAAAAGAAAATCGGGTATAATTCAGATTTCAAAGTCTCAACAGAGGGTTTGTTAAGGTTTTTATACTCTCCTTGACTCTTTCAATTTTAACTATCTGCTCTTGCTGCTGCTGAAACAGCTTTTTTTTCCCTTTATTATTAAAAACATCACTTTCTTTGAACTTAAGCTACTTAAAATTAATAATAAAAAATCACAAAATTTTTGAAAGGATCATGTTTTTTGAATTCCTTATAGAGTGTTAAGTGTTGTCATGCAGTTTTCCATTTTTCAGCCTTTTTCATATTTATGTTCAGTTTTCTTTAACAAAGTGACTTGCACAGTTTCCTCTGTCTTTTTAAGTTTTTTGTGAAACATATTTTGTTCACTCTTACACAGTAAAAAATTCAAAAGCAAAATTGCAAAATTTTTAAAACCAGCATATGTTTAGAATTTCCAATACAGTGTTAAATGTAGCTTTTTACCCACTCTCAGCTCATCATATCGATGTTCAGTTTTCTTAGTAAGGTAACTTGCACAACTTTTGTTTGTCTTTTAATTATATTTATTAAACTGTTTAATGAAAAAAATGAAAAACTTATTTTTATAATTCACTTATTTGTTGTTACAATTAATACTGAAATTTTGCATATTTGCATGTCTCTTGCATACTCAGAAGGCTTTACATGTACTTAAAATGTTAACTGTCTAAATTTTAATGAAAATATTACATACTGATCTGTGATTTATTTATATTCTGCAGGCTTGTTCATAATATTTGTCTTTGGGCTGAAAATGGTCCATCAAGTTTACAGAAAAATATAGAAGAATGCATTTTAAAATTTATTAGGGATACCCAGGCTGTAAGTAATAATTTTATGTTTTTATTTTGAATCTGAAAATACTAGTTTCTTATGTAGGTATCATTATTTATTTTCAGGGGGAAAAAATCATTCAATCTAGAGAATATGATGATGTACTCATACTTTTAATTAGACATATTTCCTCACACTGTGAAAGGAGAGCATTTTAAAAGCATAATTTTTTATCTGCACAATTATCTTTAGCTTTCGGAGAAAAATCATTAATTCTAGCAAATATGATGATATATTAATACCTTTTAATTTGACACAGGTTTGCCTTGCTTTGTGAAAGTAGAACATTTCTCTTGTATCTTCATAAGAAAAAAAATGCAGTAAAGCGACTTCTATTATTTTGGAATGGCAAAAATTTATCATTTCACCTTATATACACCATATGCTTCAAATTGTATGGTTTTCTTTTTCTCAACTGCCTACAACAACAGTTCAGAAAACAAAAACCTCACAATCTTGAGTGGCATTGTTTTCTCATCTGCTGACATACATTTTCAATTACAAAAATGTTCAATATATAAAATCAATAATAACAAATGATTCAAATATTAATGTTTTTGAAAACATAATTATGTAATAACTATGAAATCTAATTTTTTTATACACCCTTTCTGTTTCCTATAATTAAAGTTAGTAACAATTTATACTCATTATAAAAAGTAAAGCACAATAGGTGTCAGTGCTTTAGAGTAAAAAAATGACCAAAATACTTAATTCCAAAATTTGGAATTTTTGCCTTTTTACTTCCTTGTATAAAGTTAATTAAGTATTGTAACTTACTGTATCATATTTCAATAAAAATACCCCTTTGATCATTTCCGAATCCTTAGGATGAATTTTTTGCATGATGTCTGTATGTATGCACAGAATGAAGGACCTTTTTTTGTAAAATGGATGCAAAGGGGATTTTTTTGCGATGTATGTACATACATGTATATCTCGCATAACTTAAAAATGATTAAGCATAGGATGTTGAAACTTTGTACATGGGGCTGCTAGAACATCTATTTCTGCACCTCCCTTTTTTTTATTGTAATTGGCAGTACCAAGTATATGTATATATGTATATACAGTCAAAAGTCGTTAATCCGGACTCGTCGAGACTTCGGGGATTCCGGATTATCGATTTTTGTGGATTATAGATCATCAGTTTAAATCTGGTAAGATGGCATGCAGAAATTACAAAATTAAAAATATGAAACCATAATTTATGAAATAAAGAACAATTATGATCTAAAGGGTATCAAAATTTACAAAAAGAAAAAGCTTAATATTTATTTGTTTACTTTATTAAACATTTCCTTCAATGTAAGTTGCTTCGTTTCATGTGATAATACTTTCTCTTTAATTCTATTAAACAGACATAATTTCTTGTTTAGTTACAAAGTTCCGCTGTTTAAGTCCTATAATTGCTGTGTCGAGAATACCGAATAATTTGTCAATCGAAATTTTTTCGTTTTCAATAACCTCTGTGATGACGAGGAATTTGATTTAAATCATATCAAAGATGGAATACATCGAGATGAAATACTACATTTAGTAAGAAATTATAAGCCAAATAAAATGAAAACATCTGCCCTGAAGATAAGGATATCAACTTTCAATTGATTGTGCGCCGCGGCGTTGAAAACATCTGCCCTGAAGATAAGGATAGTGCTGACAGATCAACTTTCAATTCATTGCGCGGCGGCGTTGAAAACATCTGCCCTGAAGATAAGGATAGTGCTGACAGATCAACTTCCAATTCATTGCCCCCCGCCGCAAAGCAGCGTGAAATTGATAAACAGATTTCGGAATGGTTAGGTAATTTTTTTGCAGCAATTCCACTTTTGTTTAATGGACTTCGAAACATACTTTCGCTTTGGTATATCCTTTACATATTAGTAAATATATATCGGAAATTCTGTGTGACATAATCGAAAGTTCAAGCTTACTTTTATAAAATTGCTCTAACCGTCTGCAAAAAATAATAAGCCGGGGATCCAATTCGAAGATTAAGGAACAACGCAATCTGCAACATTAACTGAATTAGATAATTTTAGCCAAAGAAAGTCTATGATTCTTTTATTTTAGCTTACCTTATACCGTCCATTATATGTTAAACGCGCATGCGTAAACGTATTTTGCGCATGCGCACACGCATATTCGCAGCCGTAAAGGTCTTACGCGCTGAGGTCCGGATTATAGATCATTCCGGATTATGGGTGTCCGAATTAACGACTTTTGACTGTATATGTTGTATGATCTTAAATTCACTTAGTGCGAAATCAAGTTATTCTACTATATTTGCACAATAGCTGCAAAGTAAGTTAATAATAATTTATTTACTAAAATATTGGTTATATTATCTCCTAAGATTAATTTTAGTAGAATTATCTAAAAAGAGTGAATCCATAGTTAGTAAGTTTAAATCCGAAAATTGTTTTAATAATAATTCACAAAAAATAGCATAGACTATCTTGATCTTCAAATCATTAACTACAAAAAAATTTTACTTTTTGACAAAACAAGAAACTTCACTTTCAATACTAACAAATTAATAAATTGGAATTCCAACATATCCAAAAAGTAATTAACAATACAAGAATAAATCAAATACAACGTATTAAAAATATCTGCACAAATACAATAGATCTACATTTGCTCTAGAAAATTTGCTCCTTATTAAAATTCTCAAAAAGAATCTAATACCTAATCAATTTATTAACCATTGCCTTAAAGAGCAGGCATTAAATACTCATTCGAAATCATTTAACTGATAGGGATATGATAATTTGTTCCTAAACCTGAGAAGGCGGTATAAGTTAGATGACTATCAGTTGAAGGATTTGTACATAGTGTAATTACAAAGCTGTATATAATGTAAAAAGCTAATTGTCTACAGACTTATGCTGTTACTAAAAAAATGGGCCTATTTCATAATCTTTAGTCTGTCAAATAGTTTTTTGACAGTGAAAATTCCTTTTTTCCTTTTTTTAATTTCTTCCTCATTACGACATGAGAATTAGCCAGAAATTAATTAATTTTCATTCACTAGTATATTCAAAATTTCAGCAGACGGTTTCACTCACATAAGAACTCCACAACAAACTACGTCCCTCAAGCATTCCTAGTCACTCCCTCTCCCATAAATTACTTCACACAAGTTTCACCACCTGAAATAATTCAAAGCCTCCGCTGCTGATAAAGAATTTTGGACACACAATCTTCTGAGTAAGATACGAAGAGAACACTTTGCCCACTTCCCACTAGAAAAAGAACGTAAGTTAATTAATGCTTTTTCTGGCCTTTTATATCTTCATGTACATTCCCTTTTCTTTTTTATATTCTTTTTTTTTTAATTTCAATTTTTATTTTTTGATTTGTTTTTGTAAAGATTGCATTATATTTTTTATATTTCGTAATTTTCTAATGTTTATTTCAATTACTTTGATTTCTATTTCATAGTGCCAATTTCCAATGTTTAATTTTTTACAAATAGTTTTGAATTAAAATGCATTAACACGAGGGTGTCGGGAAACAATTACTCAAGTAATTTATCAATTTTACTGCATAAATTGCTTTTCACTCAAAATTGAATTAACGAAAATACTTAATCAAAATGAGTTCTTTGGTGCTCTGCATTGGTTCTTGATCCCTTCAATTCACGGAAATATTTGGCCTTACTTAAATTGCCAGTTTGGCATCGCCTTATTATTTGAGTGAAGGATGAAACATCTTCGTATTTATTTCTTAATTATTGTTCATTGAACGGGAGTTGGTTCGTTCGTCTTGAAAAGTCAACTAATTTCTGATCAATGGCAATGATTACTTGGTTTTAATTTAATTTCTTTTTACAATTGAAATTTTGTTATTCATGATTTAATTCAAGTCCTTGTTAAACATTTTTAACAATTTACATTCAAGTTACTGTAAAACAATTTTCAGAATTAAACTTACTAACTATGGATTCACTCTTTTTAGATAATTCTACTAAAATCAATCTTAGGAGATAATATAGTCAATATTTCTTTAGTAAATAAATTTATATATATATATAAAACGAGTGGTAATAAAAGAAAAACTTCTCTGTTATAATGAGCCACTATTGGCCTATTTGCTCAAACAATCTAAGTGAAATTTCGGATACTGTTATTTGAATGTATGTGCTTCAGATTGTGATGATTTGAAAAACATCCACTAATAATTATAGTGATAAAATTTGAAATTTTCAAAAGGCAACACCCAATTTTCTCCTAAGCAAATTGTTCAGAGCACTGGAAAACCATAAATGACATTGAAATGATACACATATGACTAAAATTGCTGACATAAAATATTTGAAAAAAAAAAAAAAAGTCATTGGGAAGCACTAGTGAAAACATAAGAGAGGAGAGGGAAAATTAAACTTTTATATCTGCATTAAAATAACAATATTTAGAAAAATTTATTTGTAGCAAATCTTATTATTACAGCTTTCAGATCAGCAAAGATTTCAATGATGGTCTTTGTTATGTAGATTGTGAAGTAGTGCTCATTTTGTCTGCTCTATTTCCTACGTTTAAAATTAGCTACAGTCAAAAGTCTTTAATCGTTCGGACTTCGGCGATTCAGGATTATAGATCATCAGTTTAAATCTGGTAAGATGGCATGCAGAAATTATAAAATTAAAAGTATGAAACCGTAATTTATGAAATATAGACAAATTATGATCTAAATGGTATCAAAATTTAAAAAAAAAAGCTTAATATTTATTTGTTTACTTTATTAAACATTTCTCTCAACGCGAGCATGCATAAAGCATACATTACGCATACTCGAAATTAGAAAATTGCAACCTGAAAACTATTTGATGTGTATTCGTGATATTTATAATGACGAGGAATTTGATTTAAATCATATCAAAGACGGAGTACATCTAGATGAAATATTACATTTAGTTAAGGAATTATAAGCCGAATAAAATAAAAACATCTGCCCTGAAGATAAGGGTAGTGCTGACAGATCAACTTCCATTTCATTGCGCGGCGCGATGTTTCGCCTCCCGCCCCCTGCACAGCGGCGTGAAACAGATAAACAGATTTCGGAATGGTTAGAGAAACAAAGAATACACCTTTATCCATTTTTTGCAGCAATTCACCTTTTTTTTGATGGACATCAAAACATGCTTTCGCTTTGTAGATCCTTTGGCAGCTCCAGAATCGGAAATTCTTTTTTGACATCATCAAAAGTTCAAGCTTACTTTTATAAAATTGTTCTAACAGTCTGCAAAAAATAATAAGCCGGATTCAATTAGAAGATTAAGGAACAACGCAATCTGCAACATTAACTGAAATAGATAATTAGATAATTTTAGCTTAGCTTATATCGTCTGTTATAGATTAAACGCGCATGCATAAATGTATTATACACATGCATAAATGCATATGCACATGCGTTTACGCATGCGCAGAAAGTTTGTAGTTTTGAGGTCCGGATTATAGATCATTCTGGATTATAGACGTCTGGATTAAAGACTCTTGACTGCATAGAAAATTTATTTATATAATGCACTAAAGCTGCTTTTATATTTATTTTAGACTAGTGGTTGGAAATTCTTCTGTCATCAGTTTTCAACCTTTATTATAATATTTTCACTCATGGTATCTGAGCCTCTTTTTTTGTAGCCCAAAGGGGCATTAGACCCAAAGAACGATTAGTGTGAAAATGGCATTTTGCGTTGTTTCACTTTCTGCATTAATTCACTTTTCAGACTTTTGCCACCAATTATCCCCATGTATCATTTAAAATAACTAAATAATGAAGATTCTACATAAACGATTCTCGCATTGTGAGAAAACAACAGTACGTAGAGCCATCAAATTTTGAATAACGTAGTCCTCCAACCGAACATGGGCACTTGGAAGCCCAAATTTTGAATTTCAAATTTGTTTTATTATCTATCTCAAATTTTGTAAAACTTTAAAATGAATTTTTGATTAACAAACTCAACTATTTCAAAGCTAGCAATGGCAATATTTTACGGAAAAAACCATTTTTATCTCCAGCGCACAATACTGTGCATTGGAAATTCTACAGTTGCTGTTTGTAAATATTTTGTGATATTGCTGTTGAATTGAATTCTGCATGGTTTAAGTGTGAAGAACATGATTTTTAATAAATAAAGGTAATGCACAAAACATTAAAAATTAATATACAAATTTGAAAGCTTTCAGATTTCTCCCCCTCCCCCAAGTAACACACGACTTACTAATAATTTTATCTCACTTCAAAACTGTGCTGAATGAAATGTGCATGGATTCTCTAAAGTTAGTATTTTGTAGGAGAGTGATTTAATTGTGTTGCATGTAACATTCAAAATACAGGTTTATACTTTGTTGCAGAATGTTACAAGAACTAATTCATATTTTTCTTAAAATATATTAATATAGTATTCTTTAAAATATTGTCTCTCAATTTCATTTAACTGTATTTGTTTCTTGTTTTCTTAGAAAGTTCTTCGTCATCAAGAGGATCAAGCTTTGCTCAAAGCATACGTAGCAGAATGGACAAAGTTTTACACACAGTGTGATTATTTCCCATTGCCATTAGCACAGCTTGAGCTCATCATGGTTGGCAGTACTAGTATAATAAAAAAATGGAAAAAAGATGGTCCAATTAGGAAGGTTATACATATTTCTTTCTTTTTTTTAAAACTTCTCTTTCTTTATCATGCAGCTTCATTTACCTTCTCTTCATTTATCTTTAGCATGCTTTCCAAATAGAAATTTAAGTTACATTGTATTAACATATATTACTTTTTTTATTTGCAGTTGTTGTTGAAGTGTTGGAATGACAGTATTTTTTCTGACATAAAGCATAGACTTCAGGAGAGTGCAATGAGACTTGTTCGTGCTGAAAGGAGTGGTGAAGCTTTTGATTCACAGTTAGTTATAGGAGTCAAAGAATCTTATGGTATTTTCATTTTATGATTTTTTTCACTAATGATAATATGATAGCTGCTATTTCTGTTGGTTTTCCCATCACGTCTCCCAATGTCCCAGTAAATCACTGAATCCCTTGGTTTTTAATGTTCAGTGTTTCCTAAAAAAAGTTTTTCCTATCAAAAAAATGAAATTAATTGAATTAATAAATCCTATTTTGCACAAATTCCATTTCTACACTCTTGATAATTTTTAGTATAATTTTTCTTATTAAATTTTATTGTCTGAGTTACCTTAATTTGATTTAATTTATAAAAATTCAGCCAATACATAATCAGTTAATATTTTTATTTAATTACATTTTGCATCAATAAATGATATAGTACTTGTATTTAGAATATCCAATTAAATATAAAATTGTTTCACAAGAATATAGTAAAGTTAAATTAAATTTAAATAAATCTCTTGCACCATTTTGCATTGGAATCATTATAGTAATAACTAGAATCATGCATTATTATATGAATGTAAGTCAGCTGGAAGCTTTTCGCAAATGGCTTTGCCATGCACCACAGATAACTAGCAATCCCTGTTTTTTATGCATGAAGTACACCCATCCACCCAGGGTGCTCTCGATCAAAATTGGGAGTAGAACTGAGCTAAATCACACTATCACCTGTAAGGTGCTCAAGATTGTTGCCAATGATAGGCGTATCTTGCCCTCTTCACCATGAGGAATTTTGTGGGCTGATAGTACTGTCAGACAAATGAGTATAAGTAACAACAACAATAACAACAACATTAAATATTTTAGGAGACAGTAATGTATATTTAAATTTTTTCTTTTACTGAAATTATAAAGAATTAAAGCAATCAGAATTTATTTCAGATAGTCTTTCTATGCTAAATTGAATTTTCAAACAATTGCTAAGATCTTAGTTCAGGTGAGTTTAATGTTTTTATGTTAAAGTTAGTCCAAGTCTGCAAATACCATATTTTTCTTTAACTTTTTCTTCCAACAGTTAACCTTGGTTCGACTACTGAAGATAAACTACAGATTTATCGAGATAATTTTGAAAAAGCATACATTGATGCAACTTCAGTATTCTATAAAGAAAAGGCCACTGAATATTTAGAAGCAAATGGTATTGAAAGCTACATGCAATATGCAGATCAAAAATTGAAGGATGAAGAGCAGCGGGCTGTCAAATACCTTGATTCTTCTTCCCTGATAGTGGTAAGGAATTTCTCCTTATGCTGTCATTTCTTATAAATCTTTTAGTCTTTTTTTATTGAATTAAATTATAAACATTACCATGCTTCAAAATTGGAATTTATTGCAATGTAATCTGCCTGTTAAAAGCCGTTTGATGTGGTTACCTCAGTGTAATTTTTTATTGTGAACAAGATGTTTCCCAGTACCTTTTATTTTATTTATTTATGTGAGAGATTTATGCTTATTATTTCTTGCAAAATAATTATTGAATGTTCTAGAGGAGTTAAAGTGATGTTTAATACTAGGAATTGCAGCCTTTAAATCTAGAGGAAAATATAAAGGGACTGTACATATACAATATTAAAATGCTAGAAAAGGAATAAATCACAGGATAAGGATAAGATAAGGAAATAAATAAATAAAACAAGTGCGTCTGATAAAATATAAACTCATAAAACTAAATTACAAATGGGTAAACATAGATATTTACACAAATTTACATTCATATATAAAAAAATTACTTATTAAAGGGAGTTTTGAGGGTCTCTTTATTTGCATAATAAAATGTATTGTAAAATTTTAATAATGTAGATCAGAAACATTACTTTAAAGTGGTTTGTTACTCTATAAACTTTTATACACACATATATATATATATTGCAAAGGCACTTGATTATATGTCATTCGCCCCATTGGAGAATGAAAACAATACAAAAATAGAATTACAAAAAAAGGGGGAGGGGTCGCTTTTATACTGAATACTGGACTTTTATATTAAAATATTATTCAAAAACTTTTCTAAACATTTCAAAATTCATATCTTTAAAAAAAAGGTGTTCACCATAGTTAAAGAAACTAGTTGGAAGAAGGTATTTGATTATGTATTAAAATAGCTTCTTATTGATGAATTTTTAGAATAAGAAAGTTGAGCAAATGACTAGTAAGCTAAATGTAAGTTTAATTTTATTTTTCCAAATTTAAATATAAAAAGAAAATATTTTAAAATATAAAAAATGTATTTCATAATTTATTAATATTTTAGTATTGAAATAAGTACAGTCAAGAGTCTTTAATCCGGACGTCCATAATCCAGAATGATCTATAATCCGGACCTCAAAGCTACAAACTTTCTGCGCATGTGTCAACACATAATGCATTAACGCATGCTCATAATACCTTTACGCATGTGCATAATATGTTTACACATGCACGTTTTAATGTATAACTGACGGTATAAGCTAAGCTAAAATTATCTAATGATCTATTTCAGTAAATGTTGCAGATGGCGTTGTTCCTTAATCTTCTAATTGAATCCGGCTTATTATTTTTTGCAGACTGTTAGAGCAATTTTATAAAAGTAAGCTTGAATTTTCGATTATGTCAAATAGAATTTCCGATGCTGGAGCTGCCAAAGGATCTACAAAGCGAAAGCATGTTTCGATGTTACTCAAACAAAAAGTGGAATTGCTGCAAAAAATGGATAAAGGCATATCCTTTGATTCTCTAACCATTCCGAAATATGTTTATCAATTTCACGCTGCTCTGCGGGGGTGGGGGGACGACGCAGCGCGCTATGAACTGGAAGTTGATCTGTCAGCATTATCCTTATCTTCAGGGCAGATGTTTTTATTTTATTCGGCTTATAATTCCTTACTAAATGTAGTATTTCATTTTGGTGTACTCCATCTTTGATATGATTTAAATCAAATTCCTCGTCATTATAAATATCACGAATACACATCAAATAGTTTTCTGGTTGCAATTTTCTAATTTCGACTATGCATAATATATGCTTTACGCATGCGCACGTTGAAAGAAATGTTTAATAAAGTAAACAAATAAATATTAAGCTTTTCTTTTTTGTAAGTTTTGATACCATTTAGATCATAATTGCTCTTTATTTCATAAATTACGGTTTCATATTTTTAATTTTATAATTTCTGCATGCCATCTTACTAGATTTAAACTGATGATGCATAATCCGGAATCGCCGAAGTCCGGATTAAAGACTTCTGACTGTATTAATAATAATTAATAATATAATAATTAATGAAGGTCCCCTTTGAGGTTTGGTGCATAATTACTTTTGGAAGAAATAACTTTATGCATAATTAGCCTCTAATACAATGTTATTTCGTGCAAGGTAAACCTTTAATTCATAATTCAGTGGTATACTGCTTGTCCCACCACATCTAGAACAATAAAATGGCATCTTTGCCTGAGTGTAAATTCTTCTAACATGCTTATATAAAGTGCTAGTTTTAGCAACCAAATGAAAATGCAAGATATAAAAAGCATTTTTGAATAATTATGTAGAAAATATCATATTCACAAAATAAAAAAAATATTTAAAAAAAAAAAGAAATTACATAATTTAAAAAATATCGCTTCCTGTACAACTTTTTAGATATTTTTTAAAGATTTCATAGTAGATTTGAAACAAAAGATTTTCGCTCCAGTACTTTATTTGCTACAGGTTTGAAAAGGAGGATATTTAGACGGCCATCATGCTTAAGAGGTTTTCATATCTCGTGAAGGTCCCTGCTAGATGGGACTTTTCTGAGAAATGAGATTCTGGTAGCACTGGTTTAAACGGGAGGATTCCTAGGAAAAACTGCTCTGCTGGAAGCGAAGTCCTGCCTATCTATGGAAATGATGTACCGGCTATGCACGATTTTTTCAAATTTTGCTGAAAATGTTTCGGCTGCAGCTCTGTCCCGGGTAGAGATCAACCAATCAGATAAAAATTCTGTTTCTGAAGGATCACGTGATCCCAATCTGAGTGATAATTGATTACTGTTTGGCATTCATGTCTTTGTAGTAAGGGAATATGGTTACCTAGCTACATAGGTTTTGTGGAAATGTGCGATATCTGAGAATTGTCCCTTTCGACATACAGTCCCTCGTAGCGAAAACATGTGTGATTGGGACTGAACATTTCACCTTTCTTTCCTCTGCTTAGGATATTTTCTATTGTGAAACACACTCACATATCCATTCAGTATTCAATGACATTTCATGTTACAGAGTTATATTTTCATTTCTTTCGGAAAAAATATTAAATCTTTCTCAAGTTTTAACATTACTGCAATTTATTAAAAAATATAAATTTGCATTATCCATATATAAAATGAACTTGGTACTTGAATTTCAAAAAAATTTGAACAGTGCTGTCACCTAGTAGCAGCATTTCCTACATGCATGCTGGGACGTATTTGTCCCACCTTTTAATTTCAATCATTTTCAATTAATATATAAAATTTCAAATAATAATTTTTATTAGAAAAGGAAACTTTCAGATAAAAATATATATTTTAATACCTAAAGTTGTTGTTCAGGTGATTTAAACTGCATAAAAAGTTTAAATCATCTGAACAACAACTTTTGGTATTAAAATAAAATAAAAAAAAACTGCTTCAAAATTAGAATTTTCAAAGCAAAAACTGCAAAGAATTTTTCCTACGTTATTTCCATTAATGAATACTAATGCTGCCATCTGTTGTACATTTAGTAAACTAAAAGGTGTAATTTTTATGTATTTTAAATGGAATTTTGAAGCTTTCATCTGGGAGATAAAAACTAACAACTGGCAGTGGAATGCCTGATGTCCCATTAAAAGGGGAAATGTTTTGTCTCCTTAATTCTTAAAAATCTTTGTGAAATATGTAATTTATATGCAGCTTTAAAATGACAGAATTCTTAAGATTCCTTTCAACAGAAAATTTTGTACACAAACTTTTCTCAACAAGTATTGTTTTTTCCTAAAAGTTGTTTCTGGACTTTCTCAATCACTGCAAGATATTTGAGTAATTTGTTTTCAATTTTTGGTGTATATGCTTGCTTTCTCTTTCGCTTTTTATATATCTGCACAATTTTATTTGTATTTATGTTTCACATTAATTTTTTTTTTTATTTTGTCCTTTCTTTTAAACTAGTTCACAGAAAATATTGTAAAGTGCCTGGTGATAGAATATAAGGATATTATGTTAGCAGAATGTCTACGAATGATAAAAAATTATGAAACAGAAAGTAAGTCTGATTAAATTCATTGCATGGAATAAGTATTTCAGTTTTCACTATCTAGATGTGAAGATAAAAATTCATATTGAGGGCTAATTATTAAATATTGACATAAATGAATGAATTGTTTTATTTTAATACTTAAATGTAATCATTTTTAGTTGTTAAAAGATGTTTTTTATTTTTGATTTTATACAATAAAATACGATGATACATTTTACATTCTTTTAATCTTTTTGCACATTATATATTTTTACTTAAAGAAAATGTATTTCAGAGCTGCAGTTAATGTTCAGATTGATAGATAAAGTTGAAAATGGAATTGAGCCTATGTTAAAAGACTTAGAAAGTTATATCATTAGTGAAGGTTTAGCTAACATGATGGCCTCTGCAGATATTATTACTCAGGTATATTTTATTTGTTACTTAATGTATCATACGGAACATATGTTGAAGTCATTAGTGTGAAATGACTGATAGTTAAGTACTGAATTTATCGAAAATGTCTTGTCGAATCCTAACCCCTTTTATAAGGCTGTATTCTATGTAGTTATTATTTTTTAAATTTAGTCTACCTGTATTTTATACCACAACTCTTGTGAGAAAAATATGGAATTAAGAGTACTAAAACTGCTTATTAATTTTTATATTTTTTATTAAAAGTTGCTACCATTCATCAAAATTGAAAATAAGTAGATGAAAAAATTTTAGTATACAGAAAAATTAGGTGTATAAATTGGCTGAAAAATTGCTGCAATTCATAACGGACACTTTTGTTTATTTCTTTTCTTACTCATTACTAGAGATTCATTTCTTATATCCTATCACTTAAATGAACAGTTTAGCAAGTTAGAAGGGATATGGATATAAGATCTAACCTTTCTTGCTATCATACAAGGTGTCTACATCTCAAGGAATAGCCTGGCAATTTCTCACACAGGCGTGAAAAAGCAGAGAAAGTGTGTAAATAGCCCTTTTATTTATCGCAACTCTTTAACAAAAGGCACAAACTTCATGCTCACAACCCCCTGACTACTTGCGGTGAGAACTTAAACTACATTTAACAATAAATTCAAAAGATAAGAAGTAGTGCTAGACTTCACTATTTAATTTAACCTAAAAGGCTGACACAGCAAACTACACTGGGGACAGACTAGCTAAATGGCCAGAATACGTAGTCGCTGCCAAGTTAACGGCTGAAGGACAAAAATAGGAAATGTGCGCTATACTAGCGAAATCACACTCCACCTAAACTATTCATTTCACTTGTTTAAATACTCTTTTTCACCCCCTTAATTTGGATCCTAGCGAGGAAATGCAAGAGGGTATAAAAAATGCAGAAAAGATGCCAAAATTGAAATAACTGGTTAGTGAACCAAGTGAAACCTTGTAGAAATAAAAATGGAGAAATAAATTATCTCTTCTTCAAATTTATGTAATTAACCCTCCATGTATGGCACGATTTGGACACATTCTGGTTCTGAAATACGGGGCATTTCTTTTTATATTCTCTATCTTCATATATTACTATTCATATCTCTATAAACAAAATTGGTCTGATGCAGAGATTTTAATAGTTTTTTCTTAATTTTAAAAAACATGCTTATGCACGCTATTTTCATGTATTACGAGACGGATTTCGTATCCCGTGGAAATCACGGGAGCCGTACACAGAGGGTTAAGAAATTTGGTAGAACATACATATTATTGATGATCAACAAAACTCCTCTGCCTTTGAAAAATTCTTAAAAATCATCTGTTATAAGTTAAATTATTTTTTTTAACTCTGCTTCATTTGTGTTGTCCATTTCAAGTAAAAAATATAATAGATGAACACATTAAAAAAAATTAGGCTGCAAAAAAATATTTAATTTATATAAATTTTTACTCACTGGATATATAGATTTGCTTTTATGCACATTCTACAGAGTATTTTCATCTAAATTTGATTTTGAAGTGAAATCTATATTGAAGTTTTTTTACTCATGCAGCACTCAAGTGAACAGCAAATTAATTTTCTGATTCCAGATCAATATATATTTTTCTTATGCAATGCGTAATTAATTTTCTAATATTTTAATAGTATTAATTTTTTAATTAACGTTAATTCATTCATGTCACTCTGTCACTCATATTGCTGCAGTAATAGACTGACTGAAGGGACACCTTGAAACAGTCTTAGTCTAGGGTTTCAAAGAATTAAATCTTTATTGTCTTTTTGATCATATGCTGTATATGCAGTATGTATAATGCATATAATTTTTCAAACCATTTTTGATATGTAGGCATTCACATAAAAATTTTAATGTTTTCAAACAATATGTATGTCAGCTTCAATTTATATTGACAGCCTTTCATGCTGCCTAAGAAAGTATATTGAATATAAAAGAGGGGTTGCAATAACCTTTGCAACCCCCTATTAAGTTATAATTATATCAATTATATAAGTATGTTTTTCCAAGTGTAAGTGCTCATATTTACAAGGAGGGAAAGTTGTGTTCTTAGTTTCACATTTTGTTACATTGTTTGTTAATGATATTAAGCTACTCTACAGAAAAGATTCTTTTTGGTAACATATAAAATTGGTCTAAGCAAATAGCAGTAAATTGATACAAATGCCCATAATTAAAAAAAAAAAATAATTTACTATATTTGATGATTATATAAATTTAGTAACCATATTAACCAGTTAACTGTGGCACTCTTGTTTAAGAGTGCTCATCATTTTGTATCGCCAGAATCGAGCCATGACGAGTATATTTGTCAATAACAAAGTAAGTTGTGCTGGTAAGATATTGGATGAAAAAGATGGGTTTATTTTATAAAATTGAAAATTTTATTACTAATATTTACTTATTTGGTTAACATAAGCATATATTACATACATATTAAACTAAAAATGCAATAAATTAAATTAAATATTATACATATAAAAGTAAGAATTTAAATTTCTGCTGTGGAGTGATATTCAGCAAAACAGGGTACTATACACAATGAGACTTTGCAAATCGAACACCAATAACGCGATTCCTTCCTGATCTTAATGTTTGTAGCAATGTGAACACCTTTGCATAGGGTTGTTTTTTCAGTGTTCCGGGTATATAATCCAGAACATGATTCCCACCTAACTGGCTTATATTAGGTTTAAATGGCCGAGTTTGTGTTGATTTATTTCTTTCGATTGGATACGTCGCAAACGTGTCTTCAATAAATTTGAGCAAAAAGTCGATACGCGATAATGTATTATTATTTTTATTATATAATATGAATGCATTCAGAATCATAATGTCTAAGAAATGGAGAAATATCTTTTTGTAGTTGACTTTTTCTGAGTCGTTTTCTTGCTATGGAATACGCTATGATAATTCCATTGCTCATATCTACTCCAACCATTTTTTTATTATAATCAATCACTAGCTCTGGTTTCTTTGCTATTATTTTTCTTTTCCCTGTTTCTATTACATTGCTTTATATGTGCATTGCTTACACTGCTTTATACGAATGATGAGTATACTCGTCAATACACAAAATTGTGCCGCTTCTCCATGACGAGTATACTCGTCAACCACAGTTAACTAGTTAAAATGTTTGTAAGTATGGAAAACTTAACTCTTAAATGAAATTCATCTCTTTAATAGCCATTTTAATTTATTTTATCTGTTTTTATTGCTTCTTACAGGATTCTGAAAAATATGTGGCGCAGTTATTAGAATTATTTAGAAGATTCAGTAAACTAGTCAAAGAATCATTTATTAATGATCCTAGATTCCTAGCATCAAGAGATAAGGTAATGCTCATATTGATGATTATAATTAAAATAGGATGTATACAAATTGTGAATAACAGAAAAGGGATGGTGGGAAAAATACACAAAATTAAGAATTTTGATTTAAATCAAGTTTTAATTTAAATTACCTTTATGCAGTTAAAGCTTATTTTTAATGTGATTAAAGCTTTAATGCATCACTAAATTCAAATTAATTCATAAAGGAGCTTTTAATTATATCATTATTAAATTTTGTTGTGCCATAAGTTTGATTAATATTCCATTAAACAGATAATTAATTTTCCCCAATACCTGAAAACTAAAACTGATTATCAGATGGAAGTCCATATAACTTTTACTTTTCATATTCATTACATTTTATTATGCTTCTGATTCAAATATCCAGTACCAATGGCTGCTGTTTCAGTATAGTTATCTGACTGGAATAGAAATTCTGAAGCCTTTTTGAAATTAAATTTTTCTTTCATTTTCTACAAACCAGATCCAATTGTGAACCATTTATTTCATATCAGCTAATATTGTTTCAGCTGTGAATAATGTACAAATTGAACTAATAAAAAATTGTAATAATATGATCAATGATTTAAAAAATGTATCAGTTGATTAAAATCCTGATTTAAATGAGTGATAGGGCAGCAGCTGAGTGATAAAGTCATTTAACACTGCTAGTTAGATCCGAGGTTTGAATCTCATGAATGGGCTGGCTGCATACGCATTTTTGCGATTTTCCCCATGCATAATATGTATACGAGCCAGTTCCCTTAAAAAGTCCTCCACCTAGGCATCCCTCCCCTTAGGCAGATAGCCCTCAAGTGCTTTGCCATAATCAAATATGCTTTAAATAAGTGATTTTATCATATGACTAAAATTATTGACACTGAATTAAAATCATATTTAGTTGTGTAAATGTGTGTATATGTTACTGTGGAAAGACCGAAATTGGAAAATGTCGACTTTCACCGGAGAATGTCAACATTCACCAAATATGGCGGTGAAAGATCGAATATTTCTTTACATTCTTGTACATTCGGACCGTCACTGGTGTATGTCGACAATCCCAGATATGCTCTGGTGTAGGTCGAAAAGAGAGGAGTATATATACATGCTGCCATTCCAAAAGGAAGTGTTCCACAAATAAATGCGGTTGTAAAAGCAAGGGCCTCTTGTGCAATTCAAAGTGTCATAATAGTTTAAGTTGTTGCAATAAATAAGATTTGAATCACATAATTTGGTAAGTTTATAACTTCTATTATTTTCTTTTCTCATTTTGAATGTACTGTGTGTTTTATGTTCTTAAGTTCTTATTCTGAGTCTCAAGTGCGTTTTTTTGCGAATGAATTACGGAGAAATATAATATTCTTATATGTTCAACATTCATCATTAGTACATGGTGAATGCTGACATTCACCGGTGTAAGTCAGAAATAAGAGTATTTGGAAAATATTTCGGACATACACCAAGCGACTATGTGAATGTTGACATTCTCCAGATTTCGGTGTTTCACCATAACATATACACGCATTAACATACATGCACAGAGAGGTATATAAATATAAAAATTTGTAATTTATGTTATTTGTAATAAATTGTTGCAGATTAGAAGAAATTAACTGCTTTAATGGCATCAATTATTAAATTTTGCCATTTTGTGTTTCATTTCTCTTTTTCTACTGCCCTCTCCCCTTTTTCATTGCCTTTTATATTTGTTAGTACACTGTACAAATTTACTTTCAAATCTGCATGCAATCAAATTATAATCCATAAGGATATTATTCTTTCTTTCTTTCTTTCTTTTTTTTTTTTTTTTTTTTTTTTTTTTAGGTTGACACTTTGTAATATTAATTCTTCCATCATTCTGGAGTCAAGAAACTTATTTTTTAAGGCAAAACTCAGTTAATCTGAAATTGATTTTATTTCATACTTCAGAATGAAAAAGTATTGCAAAACTTGACACTTGAGTATGGTAAGGAAACTCCTGGGAATCAGCATTCGTTTACTCTAGAAACATCTGAGATATATTTCCCTCTCCCCTGTTGAAACATAAAGCTTGCTCATAGTTAGCAATATTACATTAGCCAACAGCATCAAACTGCAAAATATTTGCTACAACTAACTACAGCAATTACTGCCTTATTTAATGATCAAATAACAAAATACTTGAAAAGCTTGCCTGTTAATAAATTATGAGTCAAAAATCTGTCTAAACTAACAGTATAGTGATCAAACAATTATCAAAGTGTTCAATTTTACTCCACACATAGATGGAAGACACTGCAAACTAATTGATTCTGAACTCTTGAACTCTAATAATAATTGCTGTCCATTTTTACATCATCAGTTTCCTCTCTAGTTGCTTTTATTTGAGTCAAATTTTCTGCAGTTAAACACAGAGATTCTAGCCCTAATCTTCTTTACAGAATCATAGATGGATTTCATAGCATTTCTGGAACATTATCTGTACAAACTCCTCTGAGAATAGCTATAAATTTGCAAAAATATGGGATAGTGTCTATACCTTAAGATGATAATGACTCTAGCGCAAATCAAGACCCATCAATTTGGACTATTTTATATCGAAGAGGATAATTTGAAACCACCATGTAAGAAATTCAGAGTTTAAGAAAGCATTACTGCAACAATCATCAGTCATACCTGAGCATTATGAATATAAATAAAATTTAACCCTCACCTTCAACTGAACTTCTCTATAATTAAATTAGGTAGCTGTAGCAAAATTGTTTACATAGTGGAAAACTAATAATTGTCTGATTTAACTTCTTAACATGTCTGATTTAAATTCAAAACTTTTCATTTAAAAAATTATAATTAAAAATAGATATCTTTTGTAAAAGAGTTCTGTATTACCTCTCCCCTTAATTGATCAGAAGGAAACCGAAGCATTTTACTTCTCGTTTTGTATATTTTCTTCTGAAATTCCATAATGCTGTAGTTTCTTAATTAATATTAATGACATTTTTTACATTTCTTGAATACATTTCGTAATTTTAAATTATTTCACTTATCTGATATTAACATGTAAACTTTCAATAACAGTTGTTTTTGCTGTGGGAGTGTTGTACATTAAAGAGAAATATCATTCTGTTACATAATTTGAATGAGAATTTTCAGTTTTATTGAAATACCATTATGTATAACCTTTCAGAAAACGTAGTATTTTACCTTTTCTGTTTATTTAATATTTCATTATTCACTTGACAGGCCTTCAAGAAAATCGTCAATGATATATCAGTTTTCAGCTTAGAATTACCTACAAAAAAGAGAACGTAAGTTTATTTCAAGCTTTCATATAAAGTACATCAATAAATACTTTTATTCAATAATTTGAAAAATTACATGATCTTTTTCAAAATAATCCTGCTCATTTTCTTGGAAAATGACTTTTTGTTAATTAGATTCTGAATGTTAATATTTTCTTTTGTATAGAGGTAAAACTGAGCCAGAATCTCGTTGCCCAGAACTGTTGGCTAATTATTGTGATATGCTGCTGAGAAAAACACCTCTTAGCAAAAAATTGACATCAGATGAAATTGAAGGAAAATTAAAGGATGTGGTATGTATTTAAACATAAAACAAGTATTTACAAGTTGAAAATAAGTTTAACATAGCACATAGTTGCAAATTCAGGTTTAGTAATTTTAATTAACTATTACAACAAAAATTGTGTGATTTATACATTTTTAATATATGATATATTGGTTATAATAGATTATAGTACTATAAAGTAGGGCTATATGACTTGCAAATGGCCAACTCAAAAAAGATTAAAGGACGTCTAATTGAAATTTCAGCTTAAAAATGGGATACACATATTTTAGCTTTTATGATGTTATAATAAAAAATATTATACTGTTATTGCTGCATAAATTCAATTTAGCATCAATCACTAGTTGTTTAAAATATTATCTATATTAAAAAATAATAATGCTTCAATTTTTTACAAAATTCTTATTGAATAAAATATATAAATAAGAAAAACCATACCTTTATTTCAGTTGTTCAACTTGAAAAATAACCCTTTTTCCCCTGAACAATTTCAATATACATGCAAATTTTAATTTTTTCATATTGTTAGCAAAGATTATTATAGATTATTCATTATCATTATTAATATTTCTTAATTATTGTAGAATGTATCAATACATTCTAGCATATTATAGCATTGGTTATATAACAGAAGTTCTCAAACTTTTTTTCACTCTTGTTGGGTTAAAAAAAAGTTTGCAGTCTATCTACCCTTAACCCATTAACGCCCAAATTAACAATTCTTGAAATTTTGCCTTGAAATTGATAGACATTGTTAGAAATGCATAAATTAAAAGTATTTCAAAAGCATTTTGAAAAATTTTAACTGCAACCATATTTTTTAAGCCGTCCTCATTTGAGGACACTGGGCGTTTGTATATAAAAATGTAAAATTTTTAAAAATCAAAATTTTTTACATAAAATGATTTAGTTTTAATATATAAACAAACTAATAGACAAAATAATGTTAAAAATCAAAATTTATTTTAAGACGTGTAAGAAAACTTTTTTTTTTTTACATTTTTAAGATAGATTTTTTTTATGGAAAAGAGGAAAGCATTGAATGCACAATGTTACATTGCATTTCATGCAATATGTTCTTGGCTTTGAGGCACAACTGTCATATTGGCAACACCTTTGTTTATCTCTTTTACCAATAACATGCTGTATTTTGTCGAATTTTATGTCAGGAAGCACGTTCGATCTGCATGTTATCCTCCTTTGTACTGGTCTTCCTAGGATTGCTTTTGAGTCGTCCTTTTTCAAATGGTTCTGCAAGTTCTCTAAACTGATAATGACAGGATCTTTATAATGAGATGTAGGCAGTTACAACAGCCAATCTAAGCGGCCGAGCGGTAAAGTCGCTGAACACTGGTAGTTCGGTCCAAGGTTCGAATCCCGCGAACGGGCTGGCTGCATGGGTGTTTTTGTGGTTTTCTCCATATATAATGTATATACGAGCCAATCTACCCTTAGAAAGTCCTCCATGAAGGTATCCCTCTCCTTAGGCAGCCCTAGTGTGCTTATATTAGCCCTAGTGTGCTTTACCATAATTAAATACTGAGAAGCGCATTTGGTCAATATGCATAAACACTATGTCATTGAAAAATTTGTTTTGTCAATTTAATCGTAAACCCTTCTTTCTACTCTTTTCTGTCATCATTGCATTTTCTAGTTTTTCGTTTTCCTGCTAACTCATTCTTCAGTTTTTAGAACCTGACTGTAAAAAATAGAAAATAAACACGATGGCTCTTCGGATCTTCTACAATAGATAGTAGATTTAGCACCACTTTTGTACCTAAAGGCAGTTTGTCAGATTCGGAAGTATTTGTTTCCTTTCCACAATACAGTGCAAAGTTATAACAGTATCCATCGTTGCCACACAGACCCAGAGTTTATACCCAAATCTAATAGGTTTAGATTTTATAAACTGTTTCAGTGTATGATGACCATAATACCGGACGATCATTTCATCAACAGACAAATTTTCATGGAAAATGCCCCATTTTTGAAATTCTTGGAAAGCATTTCTAACAAGGGACGTATTTTAAATGATTTATCATTCTTGTTATATTGATGTAATTTATTATCTTGGAAATGCAATAATCTTTTGAGCTCTAAGTAGAAATTTCTAGTCATAGCATTCTTCACTATTGTTACTCCTAAATCATCTGCTTCTGCCCAGTAATCCCGTTCACTGGGTAAAGTATGATAGCCCGAAAGTATCAGAAATCCTATAAATGTTTTTATTTCATCTTTAGTCACATTATAATTCAATTTATTTTTCATTTCGTGAGCATATCGATTAGTTTCCTCTACGATCATATCATAAACACTTTCAGTAAAAAATTCTTCAAACAGCTCAACTGGACTCATATTATTAGTTTGCGCTGTCAATATATCAGAATTTCTCTTGGACAAATTTTCCGAATTCCCAAATGTGTAAGCCGGGCTTTCATTCGTCCATACAATTGACTCTCTTTTACGTTTACGGGAATTGTTTTCCTTTTTCTTATCCGAAATAATAGGGTTATCATTATTATCTGGCATTGTAATTTCTAATGTACCTGTAACATCTGATACAACTGGAGTACCCAAATTATCATCATCGAATTGCTCTTCATCTGTTAGATCATCCACATCCGGAGGCATCGATATAATATCTGCTTCTATTTCTTCAGAAAAAAGATAAGCAGTCGCCTCTTCTAAGCTTTTAAATATTTTATTTCTACTCATTTTTCAAGATTTATTTATAGTTTTTCTGCAACAAAAGTAACAAACACTTAAAAAATAAATCTGAATACTGCATAAAAACTATACCCAAACGCCCAGTGTCCTCAAACGAGGACGGATATGTTTTCCTGTTTATTACGGATATATTTACAATAATAAATATTAACAAACATGCTAATGACACAATATGGGCTATCTAGATTATATTTATAACAAATTGAAAGAATTTACCTCATAAATCCAGTGCCATACAGTGGAACATAAAATAAACAACGCGATTACCAAAAAACGGGTAAATTATACTTTAATCTTTTTTATCTTTCCCGCACAATTTTACTTAGTTCCAAAATAATTGCACATCTCCCATTGTATGGTTGTGTCATCTATCGGACCAAATTGTACATATAAAAAGTTTTTTTAATTTAATGCAGGGAATAACAATTTTTTACAGCGTCCTCAAATGAGGACACTGGGCGCTAATGGGTTAAAACAGTTTCAATATGAAAAAACGAAAAAAGAAAAAAAAAAAAAGTACCTCTCATTTGTCTTTAATTTGCTGAATTTTTCATTATTTCTGTTATATTTATGGGAATTTTTAGTTAATTTTATCTGTAAATCACTTGACCCAGAAAGTTTGCTACAACTTTTCGTGATTATTGCCATGCTATCCAGTTTGAGAATTGTAGATATAGACCATTTTATTACTGGACTATTTGTGCATTTAATATTTTACTAATTAGTACTTATTTTAATATTTACTATAACTATTTTCTATTTAACTATTATTACTATTAAATATTATTTTGTTATTAGACTATTTGCACATTTGACATAGGCTATTTTTGTTTTTAATGCTATTTAACCTAACCTAATCTTTAATTGCTATTTAATTTCTTTATTTCATGTCCTTCTTGTTTGATTATATAAATATTCTTTTTGAGGAATCACTAAAAATGAATATTTTTATTTTAGTTTTAATAGTTAAGATTTAATTAGTACTTGCAATATGCTGGGTTTTATGGCCATGTTAAAATTTATAAAGAATAATTTGAGATAATATTTGAATTGAAATTTTATTTACTGAGTGATGAAATCTTCTCTGATAAAAATAGTTATCTGCTATTAGATCAATTAACATTTTATCCTAAGTTAACCTTCGTTAAGACATTACTTTTGATAAGACAGATGTTAATCTTTTTTATTTATTTATTTATTTATTTTAAGTGCTCTACTTTTGGATATATTATTTCCAGTGTTTAAATTGCGCCAGAGCCCACTGGAGCCCGGCTCTGGTACTTCTCAATTTTTAAGATAAATTACAATTTTAGCCAGAGCGCACCGGAGCCCTAAATAAGATGAGCTTCTTTTTATAAAATTGACGCACAATTTCAAGAAAAAAAATTTAGAATTCCTAATGTTTTAGTTTAACAATAAGCAGATCTTGCAATACCCTATTTCGCTAGAAATACAAGCTCATGAGAACATGAGATGTTCAAGTAAAGTCCTCTCACCCACATGTGGAAACCTTTCCCTTTAAGAAGGGTAATAAATTTGGGGGAGTTTGTTTAGGAACATGTAAATTTCTCGCCATGATATCGTATCTAGTGTATTGTTATCGATGGTTACAGTTAGTTATCCTCGCAGGAAGGAAGATTTGTTTTCTTAAATGTGCATTAAGTGACAGCGAGTACAATACAATAAGAGATAAACTGCTCAAGCACGTCCTGTATATCGTCTTCCTACAGTATCCACTAATGTAACCAAATACGGGTAGCGAAAAGCATAACCAGCAACTTTACATTCATCCTTAGAAGTCAGATTCAGTACTCATTTTACCCCTGACACACATCCACTTGATGGCTATACTTATATCAGCAAAGAGCTGTGGTCAAAGAGAATGCTCTCTCTCACCAAGATTCCCCTCATTTTTTGTTTCCACTTACTCATACCCTTGTGCTCTCATTCTGTTTCGCCCTCTTTTTAGTATTATCTGAATTTTCATCAGCTATATTTTAAGTATATTTGTGACGATAAAAGAACTTTTTCCTTCCCTACCATCTGAGCTTAAATTGCGCCTAAGCCCACCGGATCCTGGCTTCGATGCTTCTTAGTTTTTGTAATAAATCATAATTCTAGCCGGAATAATTCTAACTCTAATTCATAATTCTAACCGGAGCCCTAAATAAAAAGGTTGTGACACTTCTTTTATGTAAATGAATAACAATTTCAGTAGAAATTTTATCTCGAAAATTTATTTTAGCAATAAAATTATATTAAAAATCACTTATTAAATTTTAATTTATCTCTTTACATTTAATTAATTTTAATATTTTAATTATATCATAATTATTGACTAAATAAAAATTTATAAGCATTAATTAAATAGCTATTAATTAATTAATGTGATAGTAATTAACTATTCAATTTTAAAATTATTAATGAGTTAAATAGTCATTTTATTTATTTATTTACTCTTGTTCCTCTTTGCTGACAGTCTTCCATAGGGCTCCTACACTTATTATTTTAAAAATTAAGCCCTGATTGTTTTTTTATTTTAACAAATTATTATTGTATTCATCACATAGCTATCATCTTGTCATCACACAGTTCCTTAAATGTTGACTGCTCTAAAATTTAGTATCAAAATTACTTTTATTATTAATTTGGGTATTTTTGAAATTCCAAGAGTGTTTATTTCCCTTCCTGTTCGAACTTTTATTAAAATTATGCTATTGCTAAAAAATAAAGTTTTTTGATCACATAGTTTCATCTGGCTGTTTTCTTTGCACAGCTTTTAATTCTCAAGTATGTTCAAAACAAAGATGTTTTCATGAGGTATCACAAATCTCATCTTACAAGACGGCTCATTCTTGAGACTTCAGCTGATAATGAGAAAGAAGAAAACATGGTCAATGGCTTAAGAGTAAGTAAACTTTTAAATTTTTTGCCTTTACATGAATTTTATTTTATGAAATGTTGGTTGTTATTAATTTTTTTCTTTTCTTCTAAGGATATTGGTATGCCTGCTGATTACGTGAATAAATTATCGAGAATGTTTCAAGACATAAAAGTAAATGAAGATCTTAATGAAGAATTCAAAGGAACTTACCATACTAAAAACTCTTTGGCTGGTAAGTCATAAAATTAATCAAACTATTTGTTGTAATTCCACATACGCTTTAGTTTGCTTACGTTTCCAACCCTCTGCTAGCTGAGATCTTTGAAGCAGAGGCATACCTAAGGTTTTCAGCGCCCAGGGACAACTGAAGATTTTGCGCTCCTTTCTGTGTGCCAAGAATAGAAAACATTTCATTCTAGAATTTTGTAACTTCAATTTGGCACCCCCTGATTGCTGCACCCAGGGACAGGTGCCCCCTCTTGCCCCACCTTAGCTACGCCACACTCCAAAGGTTTACTTAAGTGCTACTTTCCGGATTTTTTTAAAAAATTATTTTAATAATAATAAATGTTACATCTATGAGTTTATTTATAGAAATATATTTCCATAGACATTTAAAATGAAAGCATAATTTAACATAGTATTACATTAAAAATATTAATATAACAGTAACCATTTATTAAGTGCAAAAATGAACGCTTTTTCTGTAAAATAAAAAAAAAAAAATAGTATGTAAAGTACATTGCAGAATAAAGATTTTAAATAAGAGCTAAAGCTAATTATAGCAAATTTATGCTTTGTACTTCACTAATATTTCAAGTAAAAGGAATTCTGCCAGCACCCTGCATGCTTGCTTCATCACATGCTGGCTTCCAATTCAAGAGTCACCTGAGTCTAGTCAAGCTGGTTTACATTATGTCTACAAGAGCTAGCAACTCCCCTTCATATTCTTTGATTATATATATATATATATAATGAATTTGGTTCCCATATGATAAAACTGACCCATTTATTTAATTTAAAAGTATGTGCGTATGAGGCCATACACAAACTGAAGCCTAAAATGCTTAGTATGTAACATAAATTTCCGTTTAGATAGAGGTTTTTGATCTTGATAGATAAAGTGGTGGATATTGCTATGCAAACTGATGTAAGAAGTAGTGATTAATATATATCTTTTAAAAAGGAGATCCTATTCCCCTGAATGTAACAGAATTCATGTTCTAGAAAACATTGGCAGACTTTGGTATTAGCACATAGCTAACTCCTAATGTTCATATATTAAACATTAAAAATATTTATAGCCTAATGAATTTTTGTATGACTCAGATTATGATTCTAAAGTATTAACTCTGCATGACAATATGTTTCCTACATGTGTGCAGCTTGTACATGCAAGAATACAGTAATAAGTATAGTATTAGGGCTAAATGACTGAAATTTTTAAATTGCTCCTATTACTATGGTGTAGTAAATTATAGCATTCAAGTATTTTAGCTTTAATCATACATCGATACCTTCTTATACAATTAGTTGCTCTTAATTCTTTTTATGTTGTGATTGTGAAATAAATTTATACTGGTGCTTGGGCTAGAGGAAGTGAACGGATACAAGTATCATTGCCTCTAGAATTTGAAGATTTTATTCCTGAAGTAGAAGAATTTTATAGACAAAAACACAGTGGTCGTAAACTTCAGTGGTATCATCACATGTCAAATGGCACTGTAAGACTTTATTTTTCTCCTAGTTGTATATATAAATTCTCCACATACTTGATAGAAGGGATATAAACTTTATTAAATACATTTCATTAAGTCAATTATATAAAATTTTGACGACATGGGGATTTAGGATGCAATCAATGTGGCTAGCTTTTTCTACACTTCAGGTTTCCAGAGTCCTCTCTCAATCCTTGTGGCAAACAGTTTAGTTGCATAGAAATAGTCATGGTTTTTCCTTGAATAGCATGACTGTGAGCCTGTTTTTCTTAAGAAATCTGCACAAAGGCATTTCTCCCATTAGAAAGACAGACTATGCTTGTTTTGTGTAATTTAAATTATAATAATATCTGTCAAACTGTTTTTATGTGTAGATTCGAGTTTTATATATTTCTATGGATTAATTTTCATGTTCTTACTTTACCAAACAAGATGAATGACACTCTTTTGAGCACAGGATAAAATGGAAAATGCTGAATCATGGCATCAGAAACTGAAGACATTGTAATTTCATCACACATGATGTTGCAAAGACGTCGCATTATGTATGCATGTGTCTGCAAAATTCCACACTTTTACGACAGTTGCAAAGATGTTGATTCAGATCGTTGCCTTTATTTCTTTTTACACAAAGATGTCAATTTCATGTCTTTAAATACCATATTCTCGTTACAAAAATGTAGGATGCTAGGTTGTAACAACATATACAGTCAAAAGTCTTTAATCTGGACTCTTCGGGACTTCGGCGATTCCGGATTATTGGTTTTTCGGGATTATAGATCATCAATTTAAATCTGGTAAGATGGCATGCAGAAATTATAAAATTAAAAATATGAAACTGTAATTTATGAAATAAAGAGCAATTATGATCTAAAGGGTATCAAAATTTACAAAAAAAAAAGCTTAATATTTATTTGTTTTACTTTATTAAACATTTCTTTCAACGCGCGCATGTGTAAAGCATACATTACGCATAGTCGAAATTAGAAAATTGCAACCAGAAAACTATTTGATGCGTATTCACAATATTTATAATGACGAGGAATTTGATTTAAATCATATCAAAGACGGAGTACATCGAGATGAAATACTACATTTAGTAAGGAATTATAAGCCGAATAAAATAAAAAACATCTGCCCTTGAAGATAAGGATAGTGCTGACAGAATCAACTTCCAGTTCATTGCGTACCACAACGTCTCCCCCCCCGCAGAGCAGCGTGAAATTATAAACAGATTTCGGAATGGTTAGAGAAACAAAGGATATGCCTTTATCCATTTTTGCAGCAATTCCACTTTTTGTTTGATGGACATCGAAACATGCTTCGCTTTGTAGATCCTTTGGCAGCTCCATAATCAGAAATTCTTTTTGAAATAATCGAAAGTTCCAACTTACTTTTATAAAATTGCTCTAATAGTCTAAAAAAAATAATAAGCCGTATCCAATTAGAAGATTAAGGAACAACACAATCTGCAACATTAACTGAAATAGAAATTAGATATTTTAGCTTAGCTTATACCGTCCGTTATACATTAAACGCGCATGCGTAAACGTATTATGCATATGCGTAAACGCATGCGCGGAAATTTGTAGCTTTGAGGTCCGGATTATAGATCATTCCGGATTATATGGATGTCCAGATTAAAGACTTTGATGTATAAACATTTTAGTGACACCTTATTGAATCTATCTTTCTTTGTGAATTTCATGCACTAAAGAAGTAAACTACGAAACTAACATCTTATTAGTTCTGTAAATTTACCTTTTGGGGATTGTTCCAAAGTCTTGTTATGATGTCTTTTTGTATATAGAGTCCATTTTGTTGGACCATAGTGTTTATTAAAATCTTATTTAGTTTTTAATTCACTGATTTTCTAAATTCAGTGACTAAATCTTTACTTGTTATTCATGATATCTAAATAAAGTGCATATTTAATGTAAAACTATATATTTTAACTCTTAATTTAGTAAGAATGGTTTATAAAATAATGAACCTAAATAAGAGCTTCAGATTTGTTCAGATCTTTCAGCATGCATTACAATTGACTAATAATATAAGCATCCTTATGAATATTGTTTATTGCCTGTAAAAACTTATAAGACAAACACAGACAAATAACTGATAAGACAAATAAACATTATAATAAGACAAATAACTGATTAAAAACATATTTTACATGAGTCCCCTTTCTTTCAACAATCTGCCCTGGAATAAAAATTTTGTAAATTAGTACATATGTTAAATTTCAAGTTTTGTCTACAGATATATATAATAAAAATACTCACTCAATAAATTAAAGTATAGTAAAATATTTATTTCTGATGAACATGCTTTTCTTTGTTTACACATGTTGAGTTTAAATATTTTTCATTTCATGAAGTACTACATTTTAACTGTTATTCAAATTCACTGTCTTCCCCCCCCCATGTTTTCTCATAACATGAATTATCTACAGCATTCATTATTTTAATTATCTACTTCTATAGGAACTTTATATAAATTGTCAATTTTCATTCTCTTCAAGATGTGCCAGTGTTTCATTAAATTAATGGCATAAAAAATGTTTTTTTGATAATAAAATTGAATTCCATAATTTTTGTTGTACATTCTGAAACTTACATTTCATAATATATAAATAACAGTGTTAGCTAACATAAAAACAGATAGGATTTTCCAATTCTGTTTTTCCTCTTTGTAGGTGCATTCCTCAATTTTTTTAACCTATTGTATTTTAATGCAAAGGAATAACCTTAAATTGAACTAAATAACCCCTGTTGAAATTTGGTGATAAGGAATAACCTTTAATGTTACTGTTTTGTGACATTAAATGTTATTCCAAACTTCAGTTAAATTTTCTGTAACCCGTTTATTAAATTCAAAATCCATATGCAAATTTTTAAGCCAAAAATCTCCCATTCATTATTCATAAATTAAAAATTATCTTTAATTATTATAATCTTTTCAATTATAAAAAAGCATCTAAAATTAAATCTGTGATTTGTAAAAATAAAAAAATAATGAGTATGCTTTATTGATATGATTCTTTCTAATAAACTGATTTATAAAATCTCCAGCAGCATGCTTTGAATATGCTTTTTGGTAAATCTCTTAGATTGCATTTACAAGCAGATAAACATTCATATTTTTCATATAGCTAATAAAACTGGCAGTAAACGTTTTCAGGAAATTCTAATTTAGAATGCCCAGTTTTTATAATTTAAAGTGTGCCTAATTTTTTTATCAGTTTATTAACTTGAAACTACTTTCCAGAAAATAAGCATACAAAAAAAATTATAAAATCAGTTAATAAATAAGATTTAAAGAGCATCAGCTAATAAATAGCAGCATTAAATGAGAAATCTAAATAAGTATTTATAAAATAGTGAACCTATATAAAAGCTTCAGATTTGTTCAGATCTTTCAGCATACAGGCCCACCAGCGGCCGAGCGGTAAAGACGCTGAACACTGGTAGTTCGGTCCGAGGTTCGAATCCCATGAACGGGCTGGCTGCATGGGTGTTTTCGTGATTTTCCCCATGTGTAACGTGTATACGAGCCAGTTTCCCTTAGAAAGTCCTCCACGAAGGCATCCCTCCCCTTAGGCAGATAGCCTTAGTGTGCTTTGCCATAATTAAATACACCACCACCTTTCAGCATACAGTATAATTGACCGAATAATATAAGCATCGTTATGAATACTGTTTATTGCTTGATTTGAATTACTTAGTGCTTATTTATTAGTTTTTCATTTAGTTTATTATTTAGCTTATCAAAAGTAATAGATGCAGCTTAATTTTAAAGGTTTTCTTATTAATATCTTACAATTGCTTGAATAATAACAGTATTTCCGTAATAATTGGCGTAATTCTTCGAATGTGACAGAATAATTGGCATCTGAATCAACAAGGTCTTTCACAACGCATACAGAGGAGGCTGCGTCTATGTTTGGGGTGATATCTCTTTAGGTAGATGCACAGAATGTCTTCCTTGTGGAACCATGAATGCTCAGGCCTGTAGAGATGACATCCTTGATGCTTGTGTATGCCCTTATGCTGGAACAGTAGGCGATAATTTCTTGCTCCATGATGACAGTGCCAGACTGCAGGGGGGCTCACATCATGGATGATTATCTTCAGCAACAAACAATTCAGTGCTTGGAGTGGTCAGCTCGATCTCTGGATCTGAATCCTACTGAGCATATTTAAGATGCTTTAGAAAGAGATGTGGTTGCTGTCAGTCCACCTCTTCAGCCCCTTGCCATGCTTGCAACTGCTTTGGAAGAGCAATGGCTTTTACTTCCTACAGAACTGATATACAGCATAATTGTCAGCATTGCACATCACTTGGATCAGCAAAGTGGAGGAATAAGAAACAACATGATACAATTTGTTATCACGTCATCTTACAGACCTATAAGGAATAATAATCTAATATCATTTTGAATACGATTGCTAAACAACATATACAGCAGACACACGTGCACGCATATGCCCTCCCACACACACAAAAAAAGATTAACTGTCAAAAGGTGCCAACAGATTGTGTAAGGCAACCAATTGTCTACAGTAAATCCGGACATTGCAGGGTTAAGGTATAATAATAAAGCATATGACAGTATTCAAATATTTTAGTAATGATTAAATTTTTTTTTTTTTTTAGTTCTTGCTTACATTCGTGGTTAGAACAAGTTTCAAACTGTCCTACTTGCCGTGTTGCACTTGCTCAAAGAGATAACTCAGGTGCAGTCTCGGATGTAAATCGTAACAATATTCTTGGGCAGGATGCACAAGGCCGAAATCCTAACCCCACCACAAACCATTTCTTTCATTTTGATGGTAAGTATTATTTGAATTTAGGTCATGTGCTGATTTTCAATTTTTTATTATTTTTTTACACTTCAAATACTTGAATATTTAAAATGTTTATATTGGTTTTTGTAATTGATATTTTAATTACAGAATGACTTGTATTAATTTTTCAAGTATATATACCAATGAATTACGGTACTTACATATTAATGCAACATCTTAGTGCTATATGGTGACTTTTTACAGATGAAAAGGTAAAAGTTGCTTATTGGGTAAAAGTTGGTGATTTTCACATTTTTAAGAAAGATTCTCAAACTATGGATATTCATTTAAGTTGACAAATATTATCAATATATAAAAAGTCAACACAACAACACATTTTAGCAGTTTTAAATACAGATTTAATTGTTAAATTAAGATTTTGTGATGCATTAAGAAAATAAAATTAATCTCCATTAAATTTTTATAATTTTTTTGCAACATTATTTTTTCCAAGGGCAGAGCAATCTGTTTACGCTTAAAAAAAGCAGAGTATTGCTGAGACGTATCGCATGAACCTCAGCAATACCAGCTATCTACCAAATGCATTTGCTTGTTGTTTCCTGTAGAGATTTTACAGATTTTGTGGCAAAATTTTGTCTTACTGCAGAAATTATAGCAAAGTTGCTTCCATTGCTGGCAAATTCTACAAGCACATATTTTAATAAAAGCTAAAATTATTGCGGTTTGTATATGAAAAACCATTGAAATTTGGAATACAATAAAAAGAATGCATATGAAAATGGCAACATTATTTGACTGAAGGATTGTTACAGAAATGGTTGCCTAAAGAGTGGTTATGCAC